GATGTGTAGAGTGCAAAAAACAGTCGATTTGCTTAGAAGGGTAGTTGTTGCGTGGCGTTAAAGTGAGGAGTTTCGTTTCCATCGCTCTAAAGCATGTTGTGAAAAGGCTTAATGACGAAAAAAGACGAGATGCTTGAATCCATCGTGCTACTGTCCTATATGGTAAAGCATTTGCTCCAAAGGCTTCCACTAATCCTCGATAGCATTCTGTTGCATTTTTGCCACGGGCAACCTCGATTGTAAGCCACGACCGCTGATCACCTTTTGAAAACATGCTTTAGAGCGATGGAAACGAAACTCCTCACTTTAACGCCACACAACAACTATCCTTCTGAGCTAATCGACTTTTTTTTGCACTCTACACATCGACAGCAGCCCCACCTCACAGCTCCCATATCTAATTTGCGCATGCCCGTCCTTCTGTGAGTTTAAAGGTTAAGTTGCCACTATTTAATTTACAACCCTCGTATATATCCGGAGCAAGTTGGCATCTCTGTTTGAAGAAAGCATAAAAAATAAAACAAACCTCGAAGACAAATTCCACTTTACATACCAAAAAATTTACTACCACACCGTGTACTTAACGTAACAGCACAACCAAGTAACAGCTGCCAATTTTCTACGGTTTTTGTAGAACTTTATTTTATCGGCACCTAAGTTTGGGTTTAAACATATTACTTTTTATTTTTTTGAACTTATTTCCTACACCATTGCCTGTAAATTATTCAAAATTTCATATGCAAGGCCTCTTATTTCTAGCTTTCTCGTGATGAGATTTTCACAGTGTTGTCAACATTACCAAAAATTCTGTAAGCGTTGGTTTTTAAATGTCTACCACTTTAGGAATTATTTTGCAAAAAGCCCTCCATTTTGTCATCCATCTTGTTTATTTTGATAATTGTGGTAGGAATTTTAAGGTCAGCAGTCTATGTGGTGGCTGTTAGCGGAATTCAAGCACCTTGCTTGAGTAAATAATAATAATGAAAATTGTAAAAAGCAGGCTTGCTATGTGTGGCTTCGAATGTAGATTGATGGTCAACGTGGGGAAACGCTTGATCAAGTTTTCAGTATTGTCGTTGAATTTGATGCCATAGATGGTGTGATTAATTATTTATTTTGATAATTGTGATATGAGGCGTCTATTGGTCTTAATTTTATATCTTTTTTGTAATTTTCAAAATTGAATATCTGGTTGAAGTTCACTGCATTGCATTTTATCGCCTTGTCATAGAAATCTGCATTTAATTTGTAAATATGTTCTGATAAGATCGGGATCTTTGTGGGCATTTGTATTTCTGATGAACCATCTGGCAACGGTGATTTTTGGTATCTGGGTTAGTATCCTATTCTGGCATTGCTTGAGTTTTTTCACGAAATGTTCCGGTATGGTTCAAATATAAATATCATATTATTGTAGGTATAGTAGATGATAGAACTATATCTTTAGAGTGGTTGCTAATTTTTAAGAAACATCTATTTTTAATTTAAGAGTGGTGACTGTTAAAAGTGCCTCGGAGACGACATTGGAGTGCAAAGTGTTATAATGAAGTATCAAAAACATTAGATTTCGCGTTTAAATAATTTAGAAATATTGAGAGAATGAATTTAAAAAATGCTAAAATGCACCTTATTTACTTAGTTGTGCAAGAGCATTTTAAATCTTTTAAGACAGTGTTTCCCAAATCGTGGTACGCGTACCCCCAGGGGTACGACAACAGTTTAGCGGGAGTACGCGTTCTTATGCGAAATATTTTGCAACAAACAAAAATTTAAAAATTTTTTATTTAAAAACAAAGCTAGCCATGAAAATTTACGATTACATATTTTTCTATTGGCTGTTTTTTGCTGAGTTAACAGTTAATAATTAGTGGTGTCAGTAGCTAGTTGTGATTTTTAACTTTTGTGAAATTTTTTATTGTAAAAAATGCATTCATTTTTGTATTAGTGGTACACAGGGTTACGAAAAATTTAGAAAGGGTACACAAAAATCATAAGTTAGGGAAACACTGTTTTAAGAACAGTACGAACCTTGTACTTTCAATTTTCTGGCTCAATTTCAAAACATTAATTTTTTTATTGTGGTCATTACCATTGTAATACATTTTTACTGTTTTTATTGACTTTAATGTTCGTTCTGTAATTAAAAAAAATAATTTTAAAAGAAGAAATGCTCGTAATAACGAAGTTTCTACTAAGAAAAGTAAATTCTGATACTTATCGCTGTGTAAAGCATTTAGTTTTATTTAAATTTTTACAATGTTTTTCTTCTTCGTCTTAATAGATGATCAAGGTAGTGGTGGTATGTATGCTTATTTTATTTTTTAAAGTATTGTAATGGTTTATGTTTATAATGATCTAGGTACAGTGAAACCTTTCGGGAGAGACCACTCTCCGTTCCACAGTAAAATAGTTGTTGATGGAGGTTAGTCGTTCTTAGAGATTACCTCCATTGACTTCAAATTTGTTATAGAAGGTACATGATTTTTCGCAAAGGATTTTAATTTTATTCAGTGTCATTTTTTTGGGGCGAACGTGCCACTTCTGTTGGCGTAATAGGAAGACGGTTCTATGAATAAAATTTAAAATCTATAAAAATTATCACAAGTGATATACGTAATTGTGTAAAAACAAATGTACCAATTAAATGCAAACGTAAACTAAAAACGGAATTGTTTATTTATTTAAAATAATGATAAAGCTATTTTAGATAAATAAACAATTATGTTTTTGGTTTACAGTTGCATTTAATTTTATATAATAAAAATTAGTTTGCCTTGAAAGGTGAGATGATGCTTGCTTTTCTAAAATTACTTCTTTTTTTAATTTTACTTTCAACTCTAAAAGTAAATCAATGATGGCATCGTCTTTAGTGCAGTTTGACTATGGCATGAACTTGTATCGTTTATAAGAGCTTTCTAAATAAGAGCTTCACACAAATATTTTAAATACATTTTAATCTACTTATTTGTTTTGCTAAATTTTTTGTTTTGATTTTATTAACACCGTGGCGAATATTTTTCAATAGTTTTACTTTTTATGTTGTTTTAAAGGGTTCTAAAGGCATCTATGAAATATTTGTAATTCATTTTGAGTAAATAATTTCTGTTGAGAAATTTTCAAAACGCGCAAATTTTCGAACTTCAAACGGTTATTGAAAAAGTCCATTTTTTTAAACTGTATAATTATTCCACTTGAGATTTATTATATGTTTTTTATAATGGGTTAAAGTCGTAAGTTCTGAAAATAAAATTGAAATAAAACAAACACCAGAAAAAAATGTAAATTTTTTCATTCAAATTTAATGGTGCGTTTGGCCGAATCCATGAGAAATAGGCGAAATTTAAAAACCCACTTTTTATGCAAGTTTTCAAAGTTTTATTGTATATTCAGAGTTTTATTAGTTTTATTTTTATCAGAGTTTTATTGTGCTCAGGCTAACAATGTTCGACAAGATATGCCATAAGTAACATGCATTGTTCTGAAGTTACTTAGCGTTGTTTCAATACCTGAGATGGATAAATTTAAGTTTTGATAAATTTTACCTTCCTATAGTTTATTTGAAATTTTGAAAGAAAAGGGTTTCTTTGCATCTGGCACAGCTCGCGAAAATCTCATAGGTGGTTGTATATTGGGTGACTACACAAATATGAAGAAAAAAAAGAAAACATCATGATTCCTACGATATTGCATTCAGCAAGGATACAGTAACATGTGCCATAAAATGGAATGGCAATGCTCTGGAAACAATTGTTACTAATAACGATATCATTTTGCTCCTTGTAAATGCTAAATGGCATAAAATGGGTTAATGGTTTCTGCTAAGGATTTTACACAAACACAAAATCAATGGAGAAAAATTGCTTGCCTTCCAAAAGTGGTTTTAAATAGAGGTGGCAGCAACATGAAGGTGGTCCTTACTGGAGGTTTCACTGTATCATCAAGCATTGAGGTATCCGACTGGGTGAAAATAAGCAATTTCGACTTTTGTTTCTATTGTCCAAGTTTAATAAAAGGTTAGAGGTAAATTTTCCACTTTTAATTTTATGAAAAGATAATTTTATTAAAAAATGTATTATTGTCATGGAAAAAAAAGAGCTTATTTACTGCAAAAAAATCGGATGACAACATTCATCTTGCTATAACTTGATCTCGTTTGAAGCATGTTGTAAGTATTTTTGATTACTCAATAGCAAACAGCATTGGAGTTGAAATTTCCAGGTATATTTATAAATTCGGAAAAACAAATAAAGTGGTAAGGGTAGGTTTAATGTAATATAATTTTTTTTTCCTTTCACTTACCTGGTTTACCCACAAAGCTCTTCAGTTATAAAATTAGTTTATCCACACCCACTTTATAAAAGAAATATAATAATTTATTATTTTTTATTAAATATTTAATTATTTCGCGACAAGCTTTTGAAGTCATCATTTTTGAGATTTCAACTTTAAATGCTGAAATTTAGTATTTGAACGAAATCGATCGAATAGCTTCTGAGTTATTAAATTTTAAAAAGTCTTACTTTGAAAAATTTGATTTCACGTGAGTACATTGATGGGGATAGAAAAAAAGCAGTTTCTAAATGTTTCTGTATTTATTGAGAAAAATAGAGAAAAAGCACTCATTTGTGACTTTTAATGATGCATTGCTAATTAACCTCATCAGGAACCTGATGACGCGATTCTCCCTTCAAGGCCCAGAGTTACGTTTCTTTTTGACTCCAGTTGTTCAAGATCACATGGACATGATTACAACTCGACACTCTCTTGCATTACTACTCATATTAGTACAACTAAGCGGTCTATAGTAACTCATATTAGTAACTAAGTATATTTACATAGTGAGGAGGCCTCGGAAAAAATCTTCGTTCTCCTTTCACTTGGTCTGAATGGGGTATAAAGATTTTACGCAAATGATTTTTAAAAAAACACGTAGATGTACAGTATGTAAAAACAGCGAACCACCCTGAATAACTTATGATTTTAACTATCGGATCTTCATGTTCTAGGACTCGATCTTAATGGTTCAAGATGGCAACTTCAAATATCCTAAATAATAAGTGCAGACAATGTTTTGACATGCGATATCAGACACGAAAACATATTTTCTCTGAATAAACATACCCTTTTTTTTTAACAGATTTGAACTTCTGATCCACAAAATTTAAGTGGCAGCCGCAATCTGATAAATGTGGTCTCAATCGTTTGGTCAGGAGAATAATCCAGAGTTTGGATTCCGTAATGCTAATTTTACTTTTTCGCGTATGTTGCTAGATCATTAGACCTTTTTAAGAGAAATCTTTTTCCTAAGAAATGAACTTTTAAAAATACTGCCTTTGTAAAGTTCAATTTTTCATAGGTATTATTCGACCAAAATCCTTCATACGGTTTTTTATCGGTAGTCTGATCAAACCAATAAGAAGGATTTCCACTTTCCGAACGAGTCATTTAATATAAAATCTTGTTAAAATAAAGAAAGTGGTAGAAAACATATGATTAAAAATTTTTATTATTTATGAATATTATTGGTTT